AAATTGTGATGTGCAGTCCCCAATTATGGCCCTACAAAAATTCACGGCCTTAACTTCAGCCTTTATCTCAACCTGCTTTAGAATATTTATGTTTTTTGCCATGATAATATTCATAGAATTTGAACCCTTGGGAAATTTTTATTTTTGTTTTTAACAAAGAGGACTTTGTACTTAGGATATAGATTTTCTTTTATTGTAAACTAGTAGCTTATTTATAAGGCCTCTACCAGTCACCTAGTGTGTTTTGTGTGTGTGTGTGTGTGTGTGTGTATGTGTGTTTCCCTGTATGTACTGGGTATTGAACCCAGCGCCTTTGCACTGAGTTCTGGCCCCAGCCCTTTTTTATTTTTTATTTTATTTTGAGACAGGGTCTCATTAAATTGCCGAGGCTGGGAGCAAGCTTGCAATCCTGCCTCACCCTCCCAGAGTGCTGGGATTATAGGTATGCAGCATCGTGCTCAACTAGTGTCTGATGTATTTTGATGACATTTTGGGTGGACACAAATGAGAAAATGGCTCTGAGACTGAGCATTTGAAAGTAACTTCCTCGGGACAGTGTGTTTGCTCTTTGTCCATGTCCCGACGGCCACCTGGAAGCTCGAGTCCATCTCTGCAGTGGAGAATGGCTTGTCCTGTGGTTTTCAGGGGTCCTCAAAGAAACAGGTGCCAGGTGAAGCCTCTTATTCTCTGTGAGACTTTCATCTGCAGGAGGCTTTTGTATCAAGGGAAAGGTCTTTTTCCTTTTGTTTCTTTTTGTATTTTTGTTTCTACTCATAAGCACTTACTCCTCCTTTGCAGGAAGGGTCCAGATGAACCCGTTTATTTATATATTTACACTTTTTTGGGGGGACCAGGAATCAAACTCAGGGCCTCTCACTTGCCAGGCCAGTGCTGTGCCACTAAGCTATATTCCTGGCCCATATATATTTACACATGTATTATTTGCTTCTTAACAAAGTGACACAGAAGATTCATTTCCATCGTCATAACTGTTTAAACTCCATGTCGGGCAGTGGCATGTTGTGTTCTGTGGGTGAAATATTTTACCCCTTTTCTTCCTTTTAGCACAGCTTTCTGAAATTTTTTGGTCATTGCAACCATCTTGATCGGGAGATGAGAAAATGCTTGAAGAATGAGGTAAGAAAAATGTCAGACTAGAAGTAGTTGAACCATAGAACATAAGATTTTTGAATATTATATATTGTTGTCATTATTAAAGTTTCCCCCAATTTTAGAGCAGTAGTGAAAATCAACTTAATATGTTTGGCTTCCCCTATAAAATTGAGAAATGAAAGATTCTCCTAAGGAGAGTTTTAGATGCTACTATCCTTTGCCATGCACACAAATGATGAAATTCCTTTGCTGCAAAATTCAAGTTGGGTGGATTTTAAGATTTAAGAAACCAAATCTTTGATTAGCAGACAGACTTCTGCCACTTGGTGATTAGCTGATGAGCAGGTGACTGAAACTCTGGGCCTTAATTTTCTTCTGTAGAATGAGGAAGCTAGGCTTAGATTTTTCAGCTTTCACAGCTTGAATGTTTTTGTATTTCTGCTGTGTACAAGCCACCCACATCTAGTTTGACTTGTTTGGGATGGCAGTCATCTGACTGTGGCTTCTGGCTATGACTTGGACTCAGGCAAATAGCCAGAAGACCTTGTTCATTGTCTTTTTATCCAGGTACTGCTGACCAAGCAGAGAACATTTGAAACCTTTGAAAGAAGTCTAATTTCTGTTTTATACATCAGATGACCAGAACCTTTTAAAATATCTTATAACTAAAAATACATTACATATAGTGACTAAGAATCTGTTTCAGTTTTTACTTTTCATATTTTTTAAACTTCACTTAGTCTCGGATTTAAATATTTGAAGCTATTTAGCACCTGTATTTCTTCATTTTGTGTATTTTTTACTCTGGGAATTTTTTTTTTCTTATTGGAATTCATTTCTGTGTGACAGTATGTAGAATTCTTTATTAAAGGTGATAATTTTGTGTCTACATATGTGTATATCATTTAAAATGATTTTTGAAAAATGTTTTTCCTTCATATATAAAGGCTAGCTCATTTGGAAACTAGCTTATGGAAAAATAAACCCCATACTATTTTATTCAGTGTAGCTGTTTTGCTTTTCTTTTTTCTTTGCATATGCTTATAGTTGTAGTTTTTACCTCCATTTAGTTTTTTTTCCCCTTCATGTAGTTCAGTAATTTTGCCATTGCAGACTGGCGGTTTACTCAGTGGTTCCAGCACCTGCCTTGCAAGTGCAAGGTCCAGAGTTCTATCCCCAGAACCAAAAAAACCCCCAAAACCCCAAATAATTTTGTCATTGCTTTGTTGATTAGAAGTTATATGAAATATTCTTTTCTGTTAGTGACTATTTAGTAGAATGTTGTAGATAGTTTATTTTTGTGTTTGTTTTCAATATAGATTTTACATTTTCTCCTTGACTTAGTTTTTAACTTAGTTTCTTAATTTCTAAGTCTTGTAGGTAGCTTTATGTTAATTCATTATCTAGCTTATCAGTGTTTCTCTGCCTTGTCTTTCATTGTCTAATCCTCTGAACCTGCTCGTTTGCTTTCTCTCTCTTTTTTTTTTTTGGTATGGGAGATCAAACTCAGGACCTTGCGCTTTCCGCTGAGCTAAATCCCCGGCCCCTCTCTCTCCTCTGAATGAGTGCTTCATTCCATGAAGTTTTTAACCAGAAAAAGGGTCTGGCCATTTCTTTTGAGCTGCTCTCTGTACCTTTTTACTGCTCTTATTCTTTTTATTGAAATAATTACTAATATTGCTTCTCTCCCATCCCTTTTTGTCCCTCTTTTGGTTGGTTAATTGACCTTTTATTCTACTTGTATCATTTGATAGAGTTTTGTGAATGACTATATTAATCCTTTTTTTACTATATGTCCCTTTTTAAAGTGGCAATCTTGACTTCCTATGGAGATGTCTTAACATGTATTTTAATTTACTTTAATTTGCTCTATAACTTATTTTATTGGCCTGCTACACAGCAGTACTCTTTTGAAGACTTACCTTAAATAATCTCTACCTATCCTGATTGCTTGAGGGAGTTTGCTGTCAAGTCCTTTGCTGAAGAGCAAATATCTCTCCATGTTCTAGAATAGTGGTTTTTGGTTGTGTACACCTTTCTCCAATAATTTTCCCCTGTGATTCTGGTGCATTGATCGCAGGGCCTTGCACATGTTAGGCAGGTGCTGTACTGCTGAGCAACATCCTCAGCCTACCCCCTTCCTCAGTAATCTCATGAGGAAATCTAATGTATGACAGATAGAAAGATTTTGGTTGAGGGGACCAAATGAAATAACCTTTTCATGATGAAGAAAGAAAGTTTGAAAAACTATCATTCAAAAAAATTTGTAGACGCCTGCCTGGCAAGCATGAGGCCCTGAGTTCAATTCCTGGTACAGGGGGGAAAAAGAGTAAAAAAAGATTTGTAGAATCCTTCAGTCAACATCTTAACATAGAAAATTTCTAAGATTGTCTTGCCCTATTCCTTATGTTTGAGGTTACTGGCAGAGAGTGGAGTACCTCAGTGTCACAGGAATGGGGAAATGCTTCCAGTCAAGTCCCTTGGTTAGCTCTCTCGCTAATCTTTTGTTTCTATGGTCTCTCTGTCCATATCTCTGGCTCCTGAAATATTTTAATGTTCAGGTCTCCCTATATGCTTGTGTTTTTTCCATTTTGCTTTTAATTTTTTCCCCTCTGCTCAGGGGAAAATATTCACCTTTAAAATGTCTCTAGTGGTGTTATATATTGTAAGCATGTAAGCATATACATACCAAAAGACTTATATTCAAGTTTCTGTGTTTTAAACATAGTTAATAACCATTTGTTTAAGAAAATTTAAGTGCTTTTTCTAAGTGCCAGGCTCTGTACTTTCCATTATTTATAATCTGTTGACTGGACAGGGAAAAATTGCATTTGAACATAACTGATTGTAGAAACTTAGGATTTGAGAGAATCAAGTTTGTTAACTGTTCATGGTGAAGAAATCCTAGGAAATTCAGTTGGTTGAAAATTTCCATATTGGACAATAGGATAATATGGTTACTGACAGTCTTTTACTTTATTTTTTTTGGAATGGGGATTGAACCCAGGGCCTTTGGAGTGAACTACATCCCCATCCCTTTTTAAATTTTTGGGTTTTTTTGAGATGGTCTCATTATGTAGCTCAGGCAGGCCTTGAACTCCCTGTGTAGTCCAGGCTGGCCTTGAACTCTTGGAAATCCTTCTACCTCAGCCTCTTGAGTGCTACGATTACAGGAATACACCACCATGCCCTGCTGAATGCCGTTTACTCTTGATAACATTAATACAGATAGAATATATGACTAGATCATGAGAACTAGGCCCTGATCATGTCTATCAGGCTACATCTGGAATCCTGTGTTTAATTCTAGTTATGGTTTTTAATAATGGAGATTGATGTTATAAGTCATTTTACAGATATTAGCAGACAGAAGTTGTGTTCTCCGGAACGTGTAGAACCAGTGATAATCAGCATGATGAGTGGTTATCTGTCATCAGTTATTTGAAGAGTACAGTAGGCAAGAAGAAATAGAGGACAATAGAGTTTAGAAGGAAATACTTTTTTGTTCAGGGTGAAAACTTTGGAACAAGTAGACCTTACCAATAGTTAAACAGGCCACCGTGCCAGGTAGCGGCCCTTGTAACTAGACATGCTCAGCAGAGCTTTAGAGGCCTCTCCTCAACTGTGAGCTCAGGGCCACAGGGATAGAACTCATCCATCTGAACTATGTACTGGGTACTTATTTTGGGAAGAAATTGATTCAACAGCACCTGCTAGGATGTAAGCACTGTCCTGTATTGATCAAGGTCCTGTCCTCTAAGGTCACTGCGTCCAGTCTCACATTCAGTGAAATAAAAGACAAAAATTTTTTTGGTAAGAACATTTATTTAGCTTAACAGTTATAAATGATGACATCTGCTGTCTCTTCTCTCCCTTTTTCCTTCCAGTACATGGAAAAGAGAACCAGAAGCAGGGAACGCGGGAATGACTTGCGAAAAAGACTTTTCAATCCTTCAGAGGAATCTGAAAAATAAGTTATATTTCACTGGATGACTTGGCTGAGAGAAGACCTAAGGACTGTTGGTTGATAGCTGAAAGAATCCTTTGTTACTTGGTCTCCAGAATCCTTGGAATGGAAAGTGACCCATGAGGAATTGAATTGTGGAGAAATATGAAGACCTAGATTCTGAATATTTGTTTAGCAGAGCCTTTAGTACTATCAGTTCTGCCAACACACTTGACTTCCTCTGTGTTTATTCACTTGTCTATATCCACTTGAGTAACTCCTTCAATAAAATAATTTAAGTCATTTTTTTCTCCTGTTTCTTAGACTCTCCTAGAAGTAGATAAAAATGACATCAATAGGCTTCCCATTTTGACAACATGATGATTACAAAGATTAAACATTGATTTTTGACAATGTGATGATTATGAAGATTAAACACCAGCTAGGGCAAGAAGAATCTTGAGAAAATTTCAGCTGTATTAACTGTATGAAAATATTCCAATGATACTGTTTTAAAGAGCCATTTTCTAAAACATTAAATGCTTGTAGTTGTCTCTCTGACCATGGATTGAAGAACAGTTCATCTGTACTGAACATGTACCCACTTTTTTGTCATTCTCTAAACAATGCCATATAATAACTACACAGCACTATGTAGTAGGTATTGTTAAGTAATCCTGAGGTGATTTAAGGTGTATAGGAGGATGTATACAGGTTATCTGCAATGCTACATCATTGAGAGACTTGAGCATCATGGATTTTGGTATCCAAGGAGATCCTGGAACCAAGGGACAACTGCTAAGAGTGCATCTAGTTGGCATTTAGTCATAGAACTTTGGTTCCTCGTTTGGGTGACTGTGGCCACGGTGGATGCCAGTTAACTCCTCAGTACTGACCTCAGAACAGTATCTTCTCTCTGCCAGGTACAGGACTCTTCAGACTCTCTGTTCAGGCAGTTGGCTCATCAGTGTTCCTTCTGCCAGTTGTTTCTTAGACCTTTGATAATTTGGAAGTCAGCAGCTACAAGCAATGGCCACAGCAGGGGCTTGGTGTTTTTCTCAGGTGTCCAGGGATAGACTGAGCTGTGAGCTCCTTCCAGTGAATTCTGTGTGTAATGTCCACATGAGTCCTTGGTAATGGCGTTTAATAAGTGATTTTCTTGTCTCAGGAGGTATTCAGGAAGCTGGGCATTCACTTAGCAAAGTGATTATAGAGGATAATATTCAATGAAGGGATTTGGTAACCAGAATTAATTTTTTTGGTCCCTTTCAAGACAGAGTGTATGAATATTCATTGTCTCCCTAAGTGTCAGCCAGTGAGTACAGAAATGAGACGTTTTGCCTTTAGAATGTTGTAGCAAACTGACAAGTTGATCATTATAGTAGTCATCTATAATTGCAAAACTGCCACGATGAAGGAGGGGTCATAGAAAACATGAAAGGGCACTTATGCCCAGTCTTCAGGAAGGAGCTACTCCAAGAAAGCTGCTTGGCAAAGGTGACCTTTGATGCATGAGAGAAAACGGGACACTTTCTGGGAAACTTTGGGCCATTCACCATGACTGGAATGTGGGAACTGGTGGTGGCCAGGAATCATAAACAGCTTTGAATTCTTTAGAGATTTTAGCTTCAATACAGCGATGACCAGCAGCAAATTTTAGTATGGTGGTTAGGGACTTGGGGAAAGGGGTTGGTCAGAAGGATATATTTCAACTTTAGTTCAGTAAGATTTTTCTGGTTATACTTTAGGGAACAACATGGAAGGAAAGGGAAGATTACACCCAGGGAAACCAATTAGACTTTTGACCTAACTATTGTGAGAAATGAGAGCCTGAGTGAAAGAAGTGGCTTTGGTGGTAAAGAGGCATGAATAGATTGAGATTGGTCAGCAGGACTGACTAGGGGCAGGGTTCAGGGAAGAGCTTAGGACATCTCAGGCATTCAGCGTGTGCCTGCGTGCTAATGGTGCTCTACCTTGGGGTGCAGACACTGGAGTGGAGAGTGTGTGTGGCCCATGTGGAGAGGGAGCTCTTTCGAGTTGCCTGGACCAGAGCAGAAGGGGGAGATGGCACATGCATTGTAGCAAAAGCCCTGTAGGCCAAAGTTGGTGTTGACAAGAGTTGTTTTATAGAGCAGAAGGAAACCTTGGGGATCACTTAGTTTAACAAAATGATTTAAGTAATACACGAGTACATTTTTACCCTTCACAGAGTAAAGGGTTGGTGTCTCATGCCCCACCTGTCTCCCGGGCAGTATTCACAACTGACAGTGGGTGGCTCTTCACACCTTTTCAGAAGGAAGGAAGGAGGAGGAGCCCCACCTCTGGGAGAAGGAGCAGGCATGGAGGCAGAAGAACCACAGAGAGTGGGGCTGTGCATGCCAAGGGGTAAAGAGGAGCAAGTGTCCCTGGCTCAAAGGGCCGAGGCGCCAGTTGGTTGGGTTCCTTGGCATCACCTCAGTGCCATTTGAATGACATGAGCTAGTGAAGCTTAGGGAGAACATGTGAAAAAGCCTGTCTCTGCAAGGAAGGACAGGGTAAGATCAGGAGGGTCCTACATCAGAAGTCAAAGAAGGGATGGTACTTGAGAGTGGGTATATGTTGCAAAGAATGCCAGCAAAGCAGAGATGAATTTTAATTCATGGGTGATATTCCCAACCTGCCCAGTATTGCAGTAGTGAGAATTTACTGTCTACATCCCCATCCCTTTATATTTTTTAAATTTTTAGACAGGCTCTTGCTAAGTCGCTGTTTCCCAGGCTGGGTTCAAATTCTGATCCTCCTGCCTCAGTTTCCCAGCATGCTGGAATTACAGGTGTGTACTTGGAGTGACGTTTTTGAAGGTGCAGAAATTAATGAGCCTAATTTATTTTATTTCGAAAACAAACCAGAAACTAAAAACTTGAAGCACTTAAAAGTACTCCTTTCAGAGAGCCATAAACACATTTGTGTGGGATGTGATGCTATTTCTTCTTCCAGTTGTTAGGAGCCCAGGCTTTGTTTCTGCTCTCTGAGGATCTCTGTAATGTGTATCAGAACCAGTGATATCTTGGTGAATGTTTAATGACTGGCTCTCTCAAAAAAAAAATTGTACTGTTTGCCATTTTCAGTGGTATAAATACAGCACCTGTACCCCGGGGGTCCATGACAGTGATGTGCTGTGACCTCAGTGACAAAGCAGCTGAAGCCCAGGAGCACTGAAGGCTTGTGGTCGAGGTTGGATTTGGGCCCAGGTGCAGCGTTCTGGAGTTCAGATGCCCCTTGACCTCAGCCCTGCACAATAGCAATAGCTTGACAGTCATCTCAGTGGCTCTTTGAACCTTTAACAGTGGCCCTGGACTGTATGTGTCATCTTGCAAAGGGCTCAGCCTCTCTGGAATTCAACTCTGATGTTTTAAATGAGATTGTTGGACTGGTTTACTTGTTTATCATAGAACTCGTAGGACCCCAGGCCTAAGAACTAAACCAGTAGAAAGTAATGTTATTTTCTTTGGGAGAGGGCTAGGATCAAGCCCAGGGTCTCCCGCATGCTAGACAAGCACTCTACCACTGAGCTACAGTTCCAGCCCAGATATTCATTTGGTATAAAATTCTGTGACCATGAGAACAATTTGGCCTGGGCTTTTTGTGTTTTGTTTTGTTTCCTAGCTCATCTAGTTCTTAGCTTCTTGTGCTGAACCTTTTTTTTTTTTTGGTACAGGGATTGAACTCAGGACCTTGGGCTTGCGAGGTAGGCGGCAGAACCACTGAGCTATATCCCCAGCTGAACTTTCAACTGTAAGATTTAAGAGGACTACCCTGCAGGGATTCAGAGGAGAGTGGTCAGTGTTCTGCTCTTTCTGCTGTGGTCTGGCTTTCTGGGTAACCCGCAGTACTTGTGGAGAAGCCTCCCAGCCCACCATGCCACATCTAAGGTCTTACTCTGATGAGTCCAGCTGTCCGTGATTCCTACAGAAAAAGTGCACATCCAAAGCTGCGGGAGTATAAGCATTTACCTTTCCAGCTACCAGGAGGGTGGAAGGTGGAGGAGGAGAAAATGCAGTAGAGCAGCAGCTGCCCAGAGAGGGTTGAATAAGAAGAGAGGAGAAAGGTGGTAGGATGAGGTTGCACAGGGCTTGAAAATCATAGCAAGGAACATGGATCTCTTTGGAGGGAAATGGAACGCTATTAAGAGGTTTAAAGTAGGGATTGGCTATGATTTCATTTATTTATATTTTGTAAAGATCTTTCTGGTTGCTGAGTGAAGAAAGGTTACGGTTAAATTAATTCAACCCAGTGACAATACCGGTCACACAGGGTTACAGTGAAGATTAATTGAGACGTAAATAGCAAATTATTTGGCACAAAGTCATATTACTGTTATAAGTGTGTGCAAATTGGGGTATTAGAAACACTTCCCTTGCCGTTTGGTAGGATGCTCCACATCATGTGGGGCAGTCCTGTTCAGACCGGAGATATGGGGGGTACAGGACGTGGGAGGAAACAGAAGGAAGAGCCAGGCCCTGCAAGTACCTAGAGCTCATCCCAGCCTGGCCCCATTCCCTGGCTCCCTGAACACCCTGTCCTTCTGTAGAGGAAGCCAGTTCCATCATCCTATCACCTCTGGTTTATGGCACCTTTCCAGTCTCGCCAACTTTCTCTGCCTGCTGTGGATGACAATGGAACCTCTGTTTCTCCTCTCTGGAGCAAGCATGCTCTCTGTAGATTTCCAGGTGTTTAAAAAACGTTCCATTTGCAGTAGAAGCCTAAGAGACTAGAGGGAGCTGGAGGGGGAGGGGAGGCTCGGAGGTCCTGTTTTCTTTATCAGGCACCTGACACTGCCAGGTGCTGGTGACACAGTGATGAATGAGGTGATCATGGTGCAAGTGAGGGCCCATGTCCAGAAGGGCCACTTAAGTCTTAAGGGATGTGGTTTTCCTTCTGGGGATGACAGATAGGCATGGTAGGGTCTGTAAGTCGCAGAGCAAGGAATAGATTTACTTCACTTGTCAACTTCCAGGGCCTTTGGATCATAGGGACCAGCCTTTGGAAGCTGCCGAGCTCAGGTCAAGGTTTTCCTGAGAAATCTGATTTTGCAGAACACTGTGAGCCTTGGTGCTCCAGTTACAACAAGTTTATCAGTGCTGCACAATTGAGACAAAAAGTTGAGCTGTTTCTGACCTTTCATTAATGGAGATTAAAATTGGGTTAATCTCCGTAGAGTTTTTACCTAAAAACAGAGTTTTCCTGAGAAAGAGCTTGGGCTGAACCAAATAAGAAATTGTATGCGTCATTGACCTGCCTAGTGGGATACCAGAGATCATTTT